CTATTGTTCATGGAGGGGATCGATGTTTGTATGAGGATTCTATTGTTGCTGCTGGGAAGTATATTTCCAGGGAAGTCTATTGTTGCTGGGGGTTGGTCTTATATTTCTGGTGGGGTCAATTGTTACTGGATGGATCTACTGTTGAGGGAGGGGTCTATTGTTCCTGGCTGCTGGAGGGTCCTTTGATGCTGGTTGTAGGGAGATGCACTATATTGCCAAAAGTATTGGGACACCAAATAATTGGATTCAAGTGTTCCGATTACCTCCATGTGCACAGATGTATAAAATTAAGCACCTAGGCATGCAGACTGCTTCTACAAACATTTATGAAAGAATGGGAGCTCAGTGAATTCAAGCGTGGTACCATGATAGGTTGCCACCTGTGCAATAAGTCCATCTGTGAAATTTCCTTGCTACTAAATATTCCACAGTCAACTGTTAGCAGTATTATAACTAAGTGGAAGCAACTGGGAACAACAGCAACTCATCCACTGGACTCTAGAGCAGTGGAGACACGTTCTCTGGAGTGATGAATCATGCTTCTCTGTCTGGCAATCCGATGGACGTGTCTGGGTTTGGCAGTTGCCAGGAGACGGTATTTCCCTGACTGCATTGTACCAATTGTAAAGTTTGGTGGAGGGGGGATTATGGTGTTGGGTTTTTTTCAGGGGTTGGGCTTAGCCCCTTAGTTGCAATGAAGGGAACTCTTAAGGCATCAGCATACCAAGACATTTTGGATTTCATGCTCCCAACTTTGTGTGAACAGTTTGGGGATGGCCCCTTCCTGTTCCAACATGGCCGCACACCAGTGCACAAAGTAAGGTCCATAAAGACAAGGATGAGTTTGGGGTGGAGGAACTTGACTGGCCTGCACAGAGTCCTGACCTCAACCCAATAGAACACCTTTGGGATGAATTAGAGCGGAGACTGCGAGCCAGACCTTTTTGTCCGATATCAGTGCCTGACCTCACAAATGCGCATCTGGAAAAACAGTCAAGCAGTCCCATAGACACACTTGTAAATCTTGTGGACGCCCTTCATAGAAGAGTTGAAGCCGTTATAGCTGCAAAGGGTGGGCCAACTCAATATTGAACCCTACGGACTAAGGGATGCCATTAAAGAACATGTGCATGTAAAGGTAGGCCGACCAATACGTTTGGCAACGTAATGTTTGTTGTTGCTGCAGGGGGTCTAGTATTGCTGGGGAGGTATTTTGTTGCAGGTGATCCATTGTGGGTCCATTGTTGTTGGCTGCAGGAGATCTATTTTACTGCTTTTCTTGCCATCATTAACAATTTCCATACAAATTACTTACCACCACAAAGTTGTACTTGGTTCTGTATCCTCTAAAAGGGTGGTATTGGAAGGTAGGTGGAAGGTGGAACCAAAGAATGGTACTCGGAGGTGGGTACAGGGAAAGGCAAGTTCCAGCAGCTACTCTCTAGGGCAAGTTCCAGCACCTATTCTCTGACAATAAAAGCTCTCTCAGTAGGCATTGTTGCCTTATACAGTGCACACACGATTGCCTTCCTACTCCTCCACTTGCCTACGCTCACATTATGTTGTGCCCAAGTACACATATCATCTGTATCCAGGGCCGGTGTTAGACTTTTTTTGCACCCTAGGCAAGACCAGCTACTTGCGCCCCCCCCAAAAAAAAAAATATATTTTTTAAAAACTGCTACATTTGTTTTAATGTGCAAAAATAAGTGCCATAAGATAGCTCTGACATATCCCAGCCAGGCAATGGGGGGGGGGGGGGGGGGGGGATAAAATGCTATGACAGAAGACAGCCCAGCCTACACACAGAGAACACCTGAACTGAGCAATTCCACACAGTGACAGATCTGACACAACACACCACCACCAACACTGACACAGATCAGCAGGCAATAGAAGAGCAGGCACTGGGATCATGATGATGTCATCACTCACTGACACACTGCACATGTGATGGATGGCCAGCAGGGTCACACTCACACAGACATGAGACATCAGAGTCAGACATTACCTTCCTCTGAAGGCGCAGCTCCGCCTCCGCTGATGAATGGGAAGAGAAGGGCTGGAACTCTAAAGTGATCAGCAGCCACCAACTGGCTTGCAGTAAGGCACGAGTCTGAAAGGAACACTGGAAGGAGCAGCACCTCAGCTGCTACACTGGCCCCAGAAACTCGGCATCTTCCTTTCTCCTGTCTTCTTCCCCCTCTGTCACCCCTTTCCACAGCTGAATGATAATTTCTGACCTGTGCTCTGCCCAGGCGCCCCTAGGTGCAAGTGTGCCCTAGGCGGCTGCCTAGTTTGCCAAGTGGAAGCACCAGCCCTGTCAGTATCCTTAATACATGAGTGGGCACATATAGATTTAATCTGCTCCAACATTCAAGTTCAGTGTTCAGGAACAGTTAGGGGGTCACACAGATATATAACATAGCCCTTGTGTAACTGGACCATGCCTGAGACCATCCGTAAAGCGGGCCAGTGCGTAGTATGCTGAACTATCTCAGAGCACCGTACGCAGCAGCCACACTAATCAAACAAACTGGATTTTGGGGTCAACTGTGCTCAGGCATGAGAAGTTCACCCTAGTGTGATTACACCATAAAGCTGGCCGTACATGTCTCAGTTTTCATTCATCTGAAAAACTGATCTGATCTGATTTCCCCATCCACAAATTCAAGATGGATGTGGAAATCCTCCCCGCTGTGTCTTTGTATTCTGATAGCGAGACTCCCCCCCACCACCCCACACACACTGTTAGAATACATTGGGATGTGGATTCCCCTCCAAAATGATTACATTTCATGAAGGGCAATGTTAATACTACAGATTCAAAGACCTTGTGGTAGTAGTTTGGGGATGGCCCTTTTCCATTCCAACATAACTACCCCTGGGCACAAAACCATCTTCACAAAAAGGCTTTACAAATTTGATGTATAGGAATTTGTGTGGCCTTTACAAATCCCTGACCTCAACACTACTGATGCATCTTTGAGATGAATTGAAATTCCAATTGGAAATCAGGTCTTCTCATCCAACATCAGCACCTTACCTCACAAACGTTCTTTTGACTGAATGTGCACAAATTCCTACAGATTCACTATGAAAGTTTGTGTAGAACTTTCCCAGAAGAGTGCTAAACTTTCCACATGCCACTCCCCACTCCATGGCTTGGCTCATCTCCACCAAAGCAATCAGTTTTACCATCTCACAGGAACACCACACCCTGAAGTCTTCATACTATTTATTTATTTATTTCAGGTACTTATATAGCACCGTCCATTTACGTAGCGCTTTACACATATATTGTACATTCACATCAGTCCCTAACCCTCAAGGGGTGTACAATCTAAGGTCCCTAGCTTACATTCATACATACACATACTAGGGACAATTTAGACAGGAGCCAATTCACCTACCAGCATGTCTTTTGGAGTGTGGGAGGAAACCGGAGTACCGGAGGAAACCCAAGCAGGCACAGGGAGAACATGCAAACTCCAGGCAGGTGGTGCTGTGGCTGGGATTCAAACCAACGACCCTTGTACTGCCAGGTGGAAGTGCTAACCATTTAGCCACTGTGCTGCCCATACTACTAAATGTTTTTTGCATGATCTGGAAGTTTGGCGCAAACAATAACACGTTTGCAATTTGACTTTTTACTTGCTAGCCACAGGACTTTCTCAAAGGGTTTCTGAGAAAAACCCTGTGCTAGCACAAAATAAATCACACCAGAATTTGTTCCTGCTGGCGATTCAAAGAAAAATAGGTGTTCCAGTGCGATGGTAAAACTTCCAATAAGAGTGGAGAGGATTATAACCACAAAGGTGTGTGTGTAGTGTGTGTGTGGAGAGGGGGCAGCTATCCCCATATTAATGGTTTTGGAATGGGATGACCTACAAGCTCAAAAATAGGTGTGATGGTCAGATGTCTACAAACAATTGGCCATAGTGTGTATATTGCTTTATTTTCATATTATTATAATATAATCACATTATATTAGCTTTCAAAACACTTTAACTTATTTGCCTTACCATAATTTTATCATTCTATCCCAGTTCTGTAGATTCTTTCTAGCAGGTATTTGTATTTCAGCCATATACAGGGTCATTTGTTTTCATTGTGTCCTGGCAGACAGACTAGAACTGCTAGACCAGTAGATCCCAAGCATTGTGCAGCACCACCATTATGGAACCTCACTCTATGTACTGCATTTAAAGAACAGATAAGAACTATGTGCACACTTACAGTACGAGGCGTATAAAACATTAACTCATATTGTTAAAATGATATACATTATACTGATCATGCCAATATATATGTGTAAAAGTAACATTAAAAGAATAATTGATTACAATTTATGGCTCTTAAGGGTAGTGGCTGAAGTCAGAAGCAAATCACAAACAGTGGTACAGTTGGCTACAGTTTTTAATCAAGATTTCCAAGAGAGGTAACAGTACCCTTGATTATATACAATATTTAGTGAAATTGTAATCACCCCTGACCTGATACTCTGATTCCTGTGGTGTGGTCTAGATCAGCCATTCTCAATCGGCTTGCCCTATTGTCCTCCAGAGGTTGCTAGGGGTTCTTTGAGCAATTCTGCCTCTCAGACAAGTAAGCACTGACACTGATGATATTTTTAGCTACCTGTAAGGGAAGATTCTTCCCACCTTCCCTTGACCACAAATGTAAGGAGCATTCTTCCTAGTGACCATCAGGCTAATGTACTGTGAGTTGTAGATACAGTAATTTTTTAATGGATCCTCCATTTTAAAAGGTTGAGTAACGCTGATCTAAGTGAACAATTTCCATGATAGTTAGGATAAGTAGTCTTATTGAATTGAATCATAATGCCAGGACGCACAACTGATGCTGCGGAATCCATCCATAGAAATATTTTCTAACTGCATTCTGAAAGTTGAATTCATAATGTGACCTCTATGTCACCTTCCATGGTGGAAAGTCTTTGTTTCAACATGATTTTCAATAGCAAGCCTTGTTCATGGTTACATAGGAGTAGAAAGTTCATTATCTGTGACTTGTATTGGGTTTTCATAAGCATGTCGAATTTGCTCATTATCACTGGACCTGAAATAAATTGAAAAAAATATCAGAATATGGCTAACAGGCTCCTTCCTAGACTAAAGATACTCTTGTCTTACCACCAGGTAAAAAACACTGCCACTGACACTAAACCCCCCACCCCCACCCAAACAATCCAGCACTTATGTTTTCTTTAACAATCCCCAAGTCCTTTTTTTGCTCGCCAGAGTAAATGGCCCTTCACAGAACCTGTTTGGGGAATGGAGACTGACGATCCAACACTGGAGTCCAGGACTGCTGCCCAGTCTTCTGCCACCCATTGTCAAAACATAATAACACCACCACCACTTTAAGTCTTCGAGACCCTGGCAAGTCTTAGAACCTAAATCAGGTTATTAGGGCTGCCTGTGTCCCCATTGGGAGATCTTCTCTTACTTCCTGAGTGATCAACGGGACAAAATTTGCACAGTGAGAGGCCTGGCCCTTTCTGATCAACAAAAGTCAATTGTGTGATCAACTTCTGTCAAAGGAGCCTGCTGGAAATTTTTCAGTCAAACAGCTGTTGAATTATCACAGAAGCACTATGGTGTCCGTTTATGAACCAGCGGTAAATGACAGCTGCTCAGTTCTCCGGAATTCTCGGAGAACACATTTATGCTAATGCTTTTTATGAAGCAGTGTAGATCAGTTCTTCAAACGAAGGGAGAACGATCTACAAACGCTGGGAAACCGGCTGCTTTTACTATAATCTCACGAGATTACAGTAAAAGATCAGTTTACTAAACAGAGGTAAATTATCTCTGCTTAGTTTGCGGTCCCTCCGATTTCCAGCTCTGGGATGGAGAATCTGGAGGGAGAACACAGATCTCCAGTGAAGAGCTGAACATGTTCTCCGCTGATCTCCTGAGTGTCATAAACTGTGAATGACCAGAGAGTAGCTGCGATCCTGAATCGCAGCTATTCTCTGTGTCATAAACGGACACCTATGTCAGCAGATAGGTTTCTCTAAACCATGGAATATCTACTGCAGCCTACTAGCCCCGGATGTGGTAGCTACATTTATTTAGTTATTTCCAAACTTAAAACACATAAATTGACCAGAAACCATTTCACTTTTCATTTAAAGCTGAACTCCAGGATAAGTCAATACTGTATAAATACAAAAGCCATGCATATTCTTCATTGATGTGCTTTGTGTATTTCTTCCAGATCTGTGCAGTCATCTGCTGTGAAACTTTCCCTCTGTGGAGGCGCTTCATATAATATAGACCTGTCACTGCAGCTCTGTCTCATTGTGCAGGGTGACTGGTCTGGTCTCTGCCCCATCCTGTAGTGGGGGGAACCTGCTGAGTCCCTCTTACAGCTCTGCTCTCTGCACAGATTATGTACAGGACAGTTATGATGTCACTGCTACTTTTACAAGGTAATATCCGGGCTTGCACAGATGTTTGCTGCACACATAGTTGATATTATTTGTGACTACGGAGGAATATGTTTGATCCCTGGTTCACATCTGTGTGGTTGTGAGTTCCACGATTTGCGCAGACACGAGAGCCCATTCATTTGAATGTACTCCTGTGCCCCGGGACATGCAGGGAAGAATTCCCTGCACTACTTTGGAAATCGCAGCCCGCATGGGAACCGAGGTTCCCAGTACGGTTGCGATTTCCAGTGCGGGCGGTGTGCCGTTAGAATTAATGGCACTCGCCTGCAGGTCCCACATTCCTCTGTGTGGGTGGTGCGGCTGCAGGTATTTGTGCGGGTCCCGCAGCGGCACCACCCACACAGATGTGAACCGGGGCTAAACAAACATTTGTGTGCCCGGAGCTTTAACAAACAAATTTACACTTACTTTGTAACATAACGCCCAGTGCTGCCATTGGGAATAACCCCATCCTCAAATTTTCCCATAGAGAATGACTCTAGGTTAGACCTGGGGGAAAACAAAATACACAAAAACCATTCAGAACAATCAACTGTCATCTGCAAAAGACATCAAATGACACCATAATTCAGACTTCCCGCTTTCAATGTTTCCCTTTACTTCTGAAATATACTGCGCTTTATTAATTTATTCCAGGGGCAGCGACAGAAACTCGGTGGAGGGATCCAAACAACCTTTAACTTCAAAATTCATGTGTAGCTTTTGTATTTAATTGACATTCTTACAGATGTCTACGTAGTTTAACCAGTTTACATGGGGCTTTGTGTGTGCACTGAAAGCAACCCATTCAAGTGAATGAGGCCATGTTACAATCGTCCTGCAACCATGCACACAGTTGCAGCGTAGTAGTCCAGCATTTAATGGGTTAAAACAGGTGGTAAGCGAAAAAAAATGTTTCCTCACCACCTGTCAAATGTTCTCTGAAGAGTGATCCAAAAAGCAGATTGTTCTTGTTAGAACAAAGCAAATTACATAGTTAGTCTGGCTGAAAAAAGACAAAAGTCCATCCAGTTCAACCATTAAAAAAGTTATAATCCTATACCCACAGTTGATCCAGAGGATCAAGTGTAATTGAGACCTCAAAATGCCAAACTGGTAGGCACCGGTGAGTGTCTAAGTGATAATTTTTGTGCCCCCTCCCCATCCTAAACATTCAAAAGCCATAGACAAAACAGACACCACTCAATTTCCCCCCTTCCTCTGATTGCAAGAACTATAGCACAGCAGCCAATGAGACTGTGCCCCAGCCGCCAGCATCATAGCAACCAATGATGCTGCATTTCATTGGTTGCTAGGACTCTGTCGGAGAGGCTGCACAGGGTCTTCAGTGTAATTGAGCTGTTCGCTAGGACAAGGGTAGCAAATGGGCAGAACAGTCCAATTACACTGCTTTGTATATACAGGGCAATGTTACTGAGCTGCAATTAGAACAGAGTGCCGGTGACTCCAGTCCCATCGCCGACCCCCAGTAAGTTCCACCTGAATCGCCTGACTTTGCCTCATTGGCGGTACACCCTGGATCAGCATAATAGCCATATAACTAGCATTTTCAGTAGAAGGTTAACAAGGGCAGCCACTTTCTTTTTCTGACAGCATTTTACTTCCATGATCATTGGTTGCTAGGACTCTGTCGGATAGGCTGCACAGGGTCTTCAGTGTAATTGAGCTGTTCGCTAGGACAAGGGCATCTAATGGGCAGCACAGTGGCTAAATGGTTAGTACTTCCACCTGGCAGTACTAGGGTCGTTGGTTCAAATCCCAGCCACGGCACCGCCTGCCTGGAGTTTGCATGTTCTCCCTGTGCCTGCGTGGGTTTCCTCCGGGTACTCCAGTTTCCTCCCACACTCCAAAGACATGCTGGTAGGTTAATTGGATCCTGTCTAAATTGGCCCTTGTATATGAATGTGAGTTAGAGACCTTAGATTGTACGCCCCTTGAGGGTTAGGGACTGATGTGAATGTACAATATATATGTAAAGTGCTGCGTAAATTGACGGCGCTATATAAGTACCTGAAGAAAATAAATAAAATAAGCTCTACAGCATCATTGGTTGTTATGGTGCAGGCTGTTGCCTGCACCATAACAACCAATGATGCTGTGTGGCCTGGCCACCAGCATCTTATCAACCAGCCCAATTACACTGCTTTGTATATACAGGGCAATGTTACTGAGCTGCAATTAGAACAGAGTGCCGGGGACTCCAGTCCATCGCCGACCCCCAGTAAGTTCCACCTGAATCGCCTGACTTTGCCTGATTGGTGGCACACCCTGGATCAGCATAATAGCCATATAACTAGCATTTTCAGGAGAAGGCTAACAAGGACAGACACTTTCTTTTTCTGACAGCATTTTACTTCCATGATCTGTGATCCGTGAATTTCTTTCCACCCACCAAGCTGTCCTCTGCCCTCGGTTAGAATACAGATTAGTCGTGTGTCATTGAATATTCATTCACAGACAGGCCGGCAAGTGAAGACAGACAGGAGTTGTTATGAGGGTGGGGTGCTCCAGTGTCAGTGTAACCGCTCTGCATTGTACATGGACCTTATATTACACAACCCTCCGATTCCACTAAGTAAACTCTGCACGGCTCCCAGAAGACTTTTGTTTTTCTATGTTGCAAGCGATTAAGCTGAAAGGAACACTCCTTGCAAACTGCATTAATACTGAATGAATAATATGAAACTCCGGCTGCACAAAGGTGGTGTCTTTGGAGGTGTCTGACATATAAGAGTATGTGTAGCTAATATCTGAATAATTGTCCGCCTTACATTAAAAGCATAAAGAATGTGCCTGCAATGCTGACTAGTGAATGCAATACACCAACCTCGGTTAAAAATAGAATTCCAGCCAAAAATAACAATGTAAAAATCAATTGCCATTTAAAAGATAAAATAGCAAATCCATCATGTGCTGCAATAATCACCTTCTACCCAGAGATTTCCTCTGCAGTACTACATTTCTGCAGCTAGATGTCCTCAGTCCGATGGTCAGAATCATTAAACCCATTTCCCCTGAGCCCAAGTCATTCTGGACCCACCCCCAGCTTATGATTGGACAGTCAAAGGAGAACCAGCACAGCAACAAGCTCATCTCTGTCACTTAGCTCTCTCCTCCTATCAGCATGTAACTTGTGTCAGCACATGAACTGATTGAATAAATAAAAAAATGCATTTTTCATTTATTCACTTTGATTGGTGTATGAACACATGTCAATGCTAGCAGCAACTGGATAATTTTATTTATTGTTTGAAGGGATTGGATTTGATTTCTCACATTTTGTGAATTATTACTCAGGGATTTCTCAGTGACTGATTTAATTTTACAAGGATTGGATTCTTGTGTGGCTTCTTCCTCTCACACTCCAGCCCTGCAAGATGCTGGTACCAGGTCAGATTCAGGTACTTACCCATACCCAGGGCTGGTGCTAGACTATTTTGCTCCTTAGGCAAGACCAGCTACTTGCGCCCCCCCCCCAAAAAAAAAAACAACAAATAAATAAAATGTAAAAACAATAAAAATATTAAAATCAACAAAACATGAAACTGCTACATTTCTTTAAGTTTGCAAAAACAAGTGCCATAGAATGCCACCAGCACCAATATTAAAGACAAAATCAGTGTTACAAATGGACTGTTTCTGTGGCTGACAGTGGTGGAGTGACAGTTGCAGTGAGTGGAGGATGATTGATCCACACTGACAAATCCCAGGCTGGACGTCCCCAGGCAATGGGGGGGGGGGGGGGGGGGGGGAGATAAAATGCTGTGACAGCAGGCAGCTAAACTGAGTGATCCCACACAGTAACAGATCTGACACACCACCACCAACACTGACACAGATCAGCAGGCCCAGAAGGCACTAGAAGAGCAGGCTGTGGGATCGTGGTGATGTCATCACTCACTGACACATTGCACATGTGATGGATGTCCAGCCGGCCGGGTTACTCTCACACAGACATCAGAGTCAGACATTGTCTTCCTCCACAGGCGCAGCTGTGCCTCCGCTGCTGAATGAGAAGAAAAGAGCTGGAACTCCATAGTGACCAGCAGCCGCCAGTCAGCTTGCAGTAAAGGACAGAGTCTGAGAGGAACACCGGAAGAAGCGGTAGTTCCGCTGCTACACTGGCCCCAGACAGCTGGCATCTTCCTCCCCTCTGCCACCCCTCTTCTCAGCCGTAGGATCATTCATGACGTGGCGGCGTCCACACAGAGATAGTGCTGGCCTGTACTGCGCCCAGGTGCCCCTAGGTGGCAGTGTGGCCTAGGCGGCCGCCTAGTTTGCCTAGTGCAAGCACCGGCCCTGCCCATACCTCCCAACTTTTAAAATGGGAACTAGGGACACCTATTAGCAAATGTATGTAGTCATAGGTCACATCCCCTGCAAGGACCATTAGACAAAAAAAAATGATTAGTTTGACCTTCAAGTGCTTTTTTTTACCACAACTAATCATTTATACTGACTTATGGAGTTTACAAATGCAACAAATTAGAAATTGGATGAAAGGTTTAGCACTGTAAAACACTTTTGGAAAAATAAAAAGGCATTTTATATACAACTATATAGATCAGACCAAAATGAGGGACAAATGTGGAGGACTTTGTTCCAAATGACGGGCAGTTCCTTTGAAATCAGGGACTGTCGGGAGGTATGCTTACCATATTTGCATCTAAAAAATAAATATATTGAGGATTACAGAACTGCATTCATTTGTGTCTTTTAGATCTGTCTAGGGTTCTGCTTCCACCAGATATAAAAGGCAGAAATTTATACAGCTCTGTATTCATTAACATACCATTCAAAGTCATTTTTTAATGCAAACATTAAAAGTACATTGAATTTGACCTGGTATCAGCTTCTTCTAGTCTACTGTACAGAGGGGGAAGCAGTACAGGGAGCTAGCCAGGTGTACTGTAGTGCAAGAAGCATGCTGATAGGAGGAGAGAGAGTAGAGAGATGAGATCATTGGTTTGATGCTTCTCCTTGGCAGAAATGCAGCATTTGGCAGGTAAAATATATGTATTTCATCTGAGTATAAAGCAGTTTTGCCTTGATTTAAGCTTATAAAAAAAAAAAAAAAAAACGTACTTTGATCTTTTATTCCAAAATATGTTGGCCACATAGACGACGAGGACAAGGAAGAGGAAGACTGTCACTGCTATAAGGCCAGTGCCCCACTGAGGAATCTTCCTCACCTCTTGATTTCCTCCTGCAAAACAAACATTCACAGTCTGTTAGGGTACTGCAGGCAACAATAAAATATGTGCAAACTTTGCCAAAGGAACACGACTAATCTTTGATTTTTATCCCAGTTGTAATAATCAGCATCTGGCTGCACCATTAGGAATCAGCAGGCTACTGCCAGCCTAACTTTGGTGTTGCAATATAATCTCTTTGAAGATACGTACACTTATCCCCTTGTTCAACCCACCCCGGACTTAAAATAACCTACTCTCCCCTGAAACTGAGCACGAGATCCCAACATTGAGAGCCCCAAGATGCCAACATTGTATCATGGGATGCAGGTAAGTATACATTCACAGGACAGCACACTTTGCAGTAAGTCAGAAGTTGAGAGGTTACAGCAGGAGCTGATCTGTGTCAGACATTTGTGAACACAGCCCAGACTGCACAGGAGCCAAGAATTACATTATTGGGCCATCTCTGAGCCAGCATCACAATCCAAGAGGTAGATGATGACGATGGATTATGGCCGAACAAAGATGTCTCCGTCCTTCTCTCCATGGAGAGAAAAGAAGATGAAGCCATTGTCAGTGTGAGCTCTGTGATCCAAAAGAGATAATAAATACAAGAAGTATTACATGTAAGATGGCTTTTTTTTTTTTCATTCAGCCAGTGGACAGAAAGGTTGGGGAGGAAAGTGCTAGATGATGATGAACTTTATCCAGCCAGGAAATGAGGCCGACTTGCTGCAGCATGATACTAGAGATGGACTGGGGACATGATACAAGAGATGGTCAGAGGCTGCGGGCATGGTACAAGCGATGGTCAGAGGCTGCGGGCATGGTACCAGCGATGGTCAGAGGCTGCGGGCATGGTACCAGCGATGGTCAGAGGCTGCGGGCATGGTACCAGCGATGGTCAGAGGCTGCGGGCATGGTACCAGCGATGGTCAGAGGCTGCGGCGCATGGTACCAGCGATGGTCAGGGGCTGCGGGCATGGTACCAGCGATGGTCAGGGGCTGCGGGCATGGTACCAGCTATGGTCAGAGGGCTGCGGGCATGGTACAAGCTATGGTCAGAGGCTGCGGGCAGTACAAGCTATGGTCAGAGGCTGCGGGCATGGTACAAGCGATGGTCAGAGGCTGCGGGCATGGTACAAGCGATGGTCAGAGGCTGCGGGCATGGTACAAGCGATGGTCAGAGGCTGCGGGCATGGTACAAGCGATGGTCAGAGGCTGCGGGCATGGTACAAGCGATGGTCAGAGGCTGCGGGCATGGTACAAGCGATGGTCAGAGGCTGCGGGCATGGTACAAGCGATGGTCAGAGGCTGCGGGCATGGTACAAGCGATGGTCAGAGGCTGCGGGCATGGTACAAGCGATGGTCAGAGGCTGCGGGCATGGTACAAGCGATGGTCAGAGGCTGCGGGCATGGTACAAGCGATGGTCAAGCGAGGCTGGTCAGAGGCTGCAGGGCATGGCATGGTACAAGCGATGGTCAGAGGCTGCGGGCATGGTACAAGCGATGGTCAGAGGCTGCGGGCATGTACAAGCGATGGTCAGAGGCTGCGGGCATGGTACAAGCGATGGTCAGAAACTGCAGACATAATACAAGAGATGGTCAGGGACTGCAGACATGATACAAGAGATGGTCAGGGACTGCAGACATGATACAAGAGATGGTCAGGGACTGCAGACATGATACAAGAGATGGTCAGGGACTGCAGACATGATACAAGAGATGGTCAGGGACTGCAGACATGATACAAGAGATGGTCAGGGACTGCAGACATGATACAAGAGATGGTCAGGGACTGCAGACATGATACAAGAGATGGTCAGGGACTGCAGACATGATACAAGAGATGGTCAGGGACTGCAGACATGATACAAGAGATGGTCAGGGACTGCAGACATGATACAAGAGATGGTCAGGGACTGCAGACATGATACAAGAGATGGTCAGGGACTGCAGACATGATACAAGAGATGGTCAGGGACTGCAGACATGATACAAGAGATGGTCAGGGACTGCAGACATGATACAAGAGATGGTCAGGGACTGCAGACATGATACAAGAGATGGTCAGGGACTGCAGACATGATACAAGAGATGGTCAGGGACTGCAGACATGATACAAGAGATGGTCAGGGACTGCAGACATGATACAAGAGATGGTCAGGGACTGCAGACATGATACAAGAGATGGTCAGGGACTGCAGACATGATACAAGAGATGGTCAGGGACTGCAGACATGATACAAGAGATGGTCAGGGACTGCAGACATGATACAAGAGATGGTCAGGGACTGCAGACATGATACAAGAGATGGTCAGGGACTGCAGACATGATACAAGAGATGGTCAGGGACTGCAGACATGATACAAGAGATGGTCAGAGACTGAAGCCACATTACTTGAGGCTGCTAGAAATCACTGCTATAATAGGGCAAAAGGTTGAAACACAGATTAGTGTCTGCAGGGACCCCAGCACAGAAAGTGCTAAAGAACTGCATGCAGCCCCCAGGCAGGAGGTTGGACATCACTGCTTTAAAGGTTGGGGTTGTGCATCCAATGAGAGGACACAGTTTATAAGTCCCCACCCCTGAGTAACAGAAGTCAGCACTGCACTTTCAGGCTCTTGCAAACAAACACTGAACTGACTGCTATTGATGCAGCTCATAATTATGCCCTTCCTCTCAGGGCTAAGTCGGGGGTAGGCAGAAGAGGTGTTTGCCTGCCTTCAGAGGGGTAGGAGGTCCCAAAATAGGCAGGAGCTGCAATCTATGCTGCTAGAGTAGTGCACAACTCCCCGGGGGAAGGCACACTCTCAGGGAACTATTCCTGTACAGATCTACCAGTATACAAGGAGGTGCTCTTTTCCTGCCTGAATATCAGCTTCATCATCCCCTAGGTATCTGATCACATGACCAGCACTGGAGGAAGCTTTCAGCAGTATGTTCTCCAAGAAAACTCTGTATATCAGCCTTTTCATTATTCTATACTGATCCATCCAAGCAAGAGATGCAGAAAACTCAACATGTGTATACAACCACATTCAGCTGCTTAGCCAAAGAATAGGAAACAATGATGCCTTTGTCTGCCTTGTTACTCAACCCATTCTGTTCAGCAGAGACTCCCGTTCTAAACATCCTGTGGAAATTTCTTCGCATTTCTATACAAGATCAGCTTCCACATGAATCCTCTCCAAATATTCCTAGTTCGGGAAGATACATCCCAGGAGTCTCTTGTTGGCCATAAATGGATCCTCTTTTCAGCATCGGGATTTCAGAGCTCAGAGTTGGGATTTAAAGAAGAAACCTTCTATTTTCATCTAAACTGGCTACGCACAGCTGAGATTTTAGTTGATTTCTACTGCATCTGCCAAAATTCGTGTCATGGATGCTCCACAAACTTTGACTGAAAATCCAATGGAGATGTGTGGAAAACTGTCAGCTGTCCAATGACTTCATCTCATAAGATATCAGATGTACGGGTATTCAGCCTTGGTTCACATCTATGCATGGTGCACGCAATTTCACAACAAAAAGGACCCTTGTGATTCAGTAAGAATTCTCTTACTGAACAGTCAGGTGCACCTTGATGTCTCCTGATGTAGCCAACAAGAAATAAACCAGGACAATAAAACATCTGCTCCCATCGGTACCATAGCAGCATTCCCTTTTCTGTTCTTGGTTTGGGGTGCTGTCACTCAGCTTCACAGACTGGACAAAAAAGTTTTGATGCCAAGACCCACAACAAAATTTTCTGCTCTCATTGCAAGGAAAGGAAATGTAGAAAGAATGAGAGTGCTGTTGAAACTAAGTCCAGTAAAGTAGTTACAAAAAAGCCAACACGTTTCAGAGACTCAACACTCCCCCTTCATCAGAGCTTAGATCAGGATCAGGGATAGGCAACTGCGGCCCTTCAGCTATTGGGGAACTACAAGTCCTATACTTGTAACTGTCAGTCTTGCAATGCCTCATGGGACATGTAGCTCCACAACAGCTGGAGGGTGGCATGGAGGATCCCCATGGATTGGTTTTCGCCACTGGCAAGCGGTATCGCATGTATGAATGAGCCCTTTGACTTCTCTGGGGACGTCCTGGAATACCCCAACTGGCATCCAGCTGCTACCAGAATTCAGAACTACCCTTCCTATTTTGGATTCAGTGCTTTACCAACATGCCTATCGTCCTTCGAAAGGAAAGGAGACAAAGGAACTTTGTGATGGCAGCAACCTCCAATTTAAAAAAACTGCAATGTTTTTTCTTAAAGAGCATGTAAACCCAACATTTCATATTCCTGATATGTACCTGATGTACCAAGTACTTGCATGAAAAAGTATCCTGTTCTCTTTGTATTGCTTCCTTTGGGTGAAATTCCTGGTGTTCTTGCCAGTCCGTCTGCTTTCCTGTTAAAAGCTGACCACACCAGGCATGAGAGCACAGCATGGTCAATTCTCTAGCTGCACTGGGAACTCAGTATGCTCTCCTCCAATGATCAGACTTGTCCTGACACACACTACAGTTTCTCCTCCCTGAGCTCCTTATGCAGCTGAGAACAGAGGGAATGTGATCACTTATAAAAAAAAAAAAGGGGGGGGGGTATTTATAATGTTTTGCCTTTTATATCTGTTTTAAATGAATGGGTAATTTTACAAGCTGAGGGTTTACATATACTTTAAATATAGGTTCTTCTCCCTCATTTTTTCAGCATTTGATGAGCTTAGTGCAAAATTATTAAAAATGACAAAATTACTCAGTACACAAAATCAGCTTTTGAAAGGTACAACAGACACGTAGGTGTAGTCTAATGAGAGCCAAATAATAAACTTTGCATCTGTAATTAAAGTAAACAGAAAAAATAAGAATTGTCTATAATATACCTACAGTAAGTAGGACTTAAGGACTTACCTGACTGGCAGGAAACATGTCCCAGTGAGAACAGGAGGAGAAAAATGAGCTTTAGGGACACCATGGTCTTCCAGAGCGCTCCGTCTCCTGTGTGGATAGGGAAATTCTAATCACATCAATACAGAACTCGAAAAGCAGGAAGAATTCCAGAGAGTTAATGGTAAACCTGTCTGCAATTTGGAAACACCTCTTACCTCTTGGCTTTCGGGAGGGGCCTGGCACCAGTCTCTGTATGTTATTTAGCAATGATGGGTATAACGAAACAAAGGGCTGGATTAAGACTAAACCAAATGGAACAACTAAGTACAAGTAGCACAACCCCCTTAGGAGTCGCTAAGTTTTGCATCCCCCTATAGTCCTGCACAGCCAGGCAACACACATTTTCGTCAGACCTTGCAGACAGGAGACCATAATTAGTCCTTGTGCTTGGTTTTAGGTTTTTTATTAAGGGGTATTGAACTTGGATGGCATTGAGGGGTGTATGGGATGCCCAAGAGAACTCTGAGGACAAACTCCTTAGTAACTATGTACAAGTTCATTAGACAAACAGTCTCCTTATTGGAAGAGCTCTCCAGCCCTCCAGGTGTACTACCCAGGGGCGGACTGACAACTCATGGGGCCCCCGGGCAATAGGGGATCATGGGGCCCCCTGTGTCCTTGCCCACACCCAAAAAAGCCTATGAAAAAGCCAATGAAAGGTACCAGGGGCATCTTATGGGGCCCCCTACTGACCCCGGGCAGTGCCTGAGCGCTCGAATGGTCATTCCGCCCCTGGTACTACCTCAGATGAATTCTCCTCTTCACCCAGTTGCCTGAGGGAATCCTGGTCAAGGGGATCCAATCTTCCAAATCTCAAACTTCCAAAGCCGTGTGCACAAAAATTGTGTGGAGGGTACTCCAAAAGCAAAACATTCACAGGTGAGCCGCAATTGCCAAACCACTAATGATCAACTTTAATGCTCAGAAAAAGGAGAGATTGGTGCAACACTCATAAATCGTGTACTATTGATCAATGGAAGACTGTAATATGGTCTGGTAAATCGAGCTTCACACCGTTCCCAACCACCAGACGTGTTTACGTATGACGAACACCATCCCAAGCTGAAGACAAGGGCTGTGTCAGTAAAGCAGCAATGATTTGGGCAGCTATATCTTGGTATTCTGCAGGCCCCATCATCACCTTGAAAGGTAGAGTCACTGGTAGTGACAATGTACACATTTTGGCCAACCATGTGCAAACATTGTTTCCTGAAGACAATGGTCATTTACCAAGACAATAATGCCCAATTCACACCACTGGTGTTATCAAGATGTGGTTTGACAAGCATGCAGACAAAGTCTCACACCTTCCCTGGGCACCGCAGTCACCAGACCTCAAAAAAATACTGTAGAAAAACTATGGTCAACTTTGGAGACCATAGTCTGGTTCAGACTCGTTTTCCACCTCAACCATCTCTGTGAGAACTGGAACGATTTTTGCATGAAGAATGGTATCAGATTTCATTATCCACCATCCAAGAGTTAAATTTGTCAATTCTCATGAAAATGTAGGCTGTCTTGGATGCCAAAGGTGGTCCAACACCATATTAGGTAATGATTTTGTTCTTTTACCTGGTGTTCCCATAATTTTGTCGAACCCCTGTACATTGTCAGTACAATAACAAGATCATAAGGGGGTTCCTTAAGGGGTTCCTTAATGTCCAGACATCACAACATTATAAATGCCTTCCGAAAAGGTAGCAAGACGTGGATGGTGGGTCACTGCTGACCATAAAAGGAGTTGGGGTGAGCCCCAAGAGGCCCAATCTAAAACATACTTATTTTATAGAGTAATTTCACTTTTGTAAGAGAAAAAACAATCCCCTCTGGGTGATCTATGTCAGTGTTTTTCAACCTTTTTTGTGCAAAGGCACACTTTTTTCATGAAAAAAAATCACGAGGCACACCACCATTAGAAAATGTTAAAAAAATTTACCTCTGTGCCTATATTGACTATATATAAAGTAATTCTCTTGAATAGGAATCAAACACAAAGAAATTATTTTATAATTACTTTATTATGAAATAATAAAGTATTTTATAATTGGACCCGGGGGCCGGACCAAGAGTAGATGAATGATGTGTATGTGTCATCCATAGTAAGTATAGTAATATTCCCCCATAGTAAGCATAGTAATTAATCCCCCATATAGTAATTCATCCCCCATAGTAATTAATCCCCCATATAGTAATTCATCCCCCATAGTAATTCATCCTCCATATAGTAATTCATCCCCCATAGTAATTCATCCCCCATAGTAATTAATCCCCCATATAGTAATTCATCCCCCCATAGTAATTCATCCCCCATAGTAATTAATCCCCCATATAGTAATTCATCCCCCATAGTAATTAATCCCCCATATAGTAATTCATCCCCCATATAGTAATTCATCCCCCATAGTAATTCATCCCCCATATAGTAATTCATCCCCCATAGTGTAATTCATCCCCCATAGTAATTCATCCCCCATAGTAATTCATCCCCCATATAGTAATTCATCCCCCATATAGTAATTCATCCTCCATATAGTAATTCATCCCCCATAGTAATTCATCCCCCATATAGTAATTCATCCCCCATAGCAATTCATCCCCCGTATAGTATTTCATCCCTCGTATAGTATTTCATCCCCCGTATAGTATTTCATCCCCCGTATAGTATTTCATCCCCCATATAGTATTTCATCATCCCCCATATAGTATTTCCCCCATCCCTCATATAGTATTTCATCCCCCATATAGTAATTCATCCCTCATATAGTATTTCATCCCTCATATAGTATTTCATCCCCCATATAGTATTTCATCCCTCATATAGTATTTCATCCCCCCATATAGTATTTCATCCCTCATATAGTATTTCATCCCTCATATAGTAATTCATCCCTCATATAGTATTTCATCCCCCCATATAGTAATTCATCCCTCATATAGTATTTCATCCCCCATATAGTATTTCATCCCCCCATATAGTTTCATCCCTCATATAGTAATTTCATCCCTCATATAGTATTTCATCCCCCCATATAGTATTTCATCCCCCCATATAGTATTTCATCCCCCCATATAGTATTTCATCCCTCATATAGTAATTCATCCCCTCATATAGTATTTCATCCCTCATATAGTATTTCATCCCTCATATAGTATTTCATCCCCCATATAGTATTTCATCCCCCCATATAGTATTTCATCCCCTCATATAGTATTTCATCCCTCATATAGTATTTCATCCCCCCATATAGTATTTCATCCCTCATACAGTAATTCATCCCTCATATAGTAATTCATCCCCCATATAGTATTTCATCCCTCATATAGTATTTCATCCCCCCATATAGTATTTCATCCCTCATATAGTAATTCATCCCCCATATAGTATTTCATCCCCCCATATAGTATTTCATCCCTCATATAGTAATTCATCCCTGATATAGTAATTCATCCCCCATATAGTATTTCCCATCCCCCATATAGTATTTCATCCCTCATAAAGTAATTCATCCCTCATATAGTATTTCATCCCCCACAGTACTATTCCCCCCCCCCCCTTCTAGTAAGCCAAGTCCCCCGTGTCAATTCACTTACCTTTTGCGTTCCTCTCGCTGTCTTCCCGCGCCGTTCGGGTCTTCAGGGCGGACTGTGAGAGGAGCCTAGCTCCCCTCCCCTCACGTTCGGCACGCTGCCCCGCCTACACACATCCTGACAGCCACATCCGCAAGCCGGATTAAAAGGTCCGCGCGGACTTTTGGGGCTGCCAACCGAGAGGAGGCAGGGGAGCGGCCGACCGAGAGGAGGGAGGGGAGCAGGCGCCCGGCACACAGAAGAGCCGCATTAGACTGGGTAAAGAGCCGCATGTGGCTCGCGAGCCGCGGCTTGCCGACCACTGAATCATTAGATTCTAATGATTGGTCTATTTGTGAGCCGAAGCCACATGTTACAGATGAAATTGGAATTTTTCCCACGGCACACACCAGACAATATCTCACGGCACACTAGTGTGCCGCGGCACAGTGGTTGAAAAACGCTGATCTATGTACATTGCAAGCATTTTAACAAACTTTGTAGCAGATCCCTAGCTGTTTCTGCTCTGAAGGAGTAGATGTTTTTCACCATATCCTGTGCAGATGATTCTGAATGGGGAGGTCTGGTCCATTACAATCACCTGGTGCACTCAGTGTTCTGATGAGAAATGCTGCAGTGTCTGCATCCCTTTAGAAGTAATTAAAGGAGAAGTTTGGTTATAAAAAAAACAAACATACATACTCGCTTCTAGGCTGGAGCACCGATGTGATGTTGCAGCTACTCCCCCCCCCCCTCGGATTTAAAGTGTTACTAAACCCACAACCGTAAAATCAGTCTGTATATGCAGTAAAGCATGCTTGCTGTACACTGTGGAACCTAAGGGGTTAATCCTCTGCATTGTGTAAAAATGCTTTTTGATCCTGACTTCTCTGATCCTCCCTTTCTTCCAGTGTCCCCCTCTTATCTCCTGATAAGACGTATCATGTGGAGACACCCTGAACATGCTCAGTTTGGTATGTATTGCTAGAAAGGTTTTTTTTTTTAGTCTTGGGAGAGTGCATGTGTGTCAGGAAAGGCCTGCCCACAGTGCAGGTAAAGCTCCACGGGTCACAAATATGCGCAAGCGCAGGGTCCTTGCAAGCCGAGCAGATGTGCAGGGACCTGGGCATTAGCGCGCACTTTCGCATTTCGCCTGTCACTAATGCTGGCGCCAAAGGGATATTTAAACTGGCTGCTGTAGTTGTCTCATTGCCGTATGGTCTTTTCCCCTGCTCATATTTCCTGACTTCCGTGATTGACTCCTGTTGCCAAACCAGCCTGTTCCTGCTTGATTGACTCCTGACCTGACCTCTGGCTGTTACCGGACTGATCTCAGGCATTCATACCCCACTGTGCACCTGCGACCGCTGTCTCACCATCAGCGGTCCTTGAGCCGGAGTTGTACGGGAAGCCTGCCACTTCACGTCAGGCTCACTATCCAGGTACGTGACAGCGTGTGATTAGCACAGGGCACTGTATAGACAAAGGTCAGGGGTACTGCATCTTCCTAACGCAGAAAGAAAACTCCTCCTACAACCTTTAACCAGTGCTCTGCTGGACACTGATAGAACTCACAAGACTGCTCTAACTGTTGATGAGAAAATGTATTTAACAGTTTATATTTACTAAAATAATTGCATTTCCATGTTCTGTGTACTGTGGGAGACCAGATATAGTGAATGCAGGGTCTTGGGTTTAGTAACACTTTAAGCATGAGAACTGAGCTATGACTGATGATCATTCAGTTCTCAATCTTCTCGGAGCAGAGAGTGGTGGCTTTCAGTCACCACTGTGCTCTGCCCCTCAAGCACTCAATGAAGCAATGAATTGGAGGAGGGTGAGCACAGCAGGCTCTGGCTCTCAGCCACACGCTGAGAGCCGAAGCCAACTGTAAATCAGACAGTTGGGTGGATCTTGACAATGTTGTTGGGATCCTTCCAGAGCCTGGAGAAGCTCTGCCACTTCAGCTGACAGCGGACTTTAACCCAATGATGGCTGATTCTGGGTCACAGGCGTGCAAAAGTAAGTGCACTTCTGTGACCCAGAAGAGAAATATGACCATATTTTTGGCCATACTTGTATTTTAACCCTTGTTGAGCATCATACCAAAACTGACCTATTGCAGAGGATGCCAAAAACTGCACTTAGTGCAGGCTTCTGTGAAAATCAGTGAGCCACTGTGTAGGGATTACCTCCAAGTTTCCATATTGCATTAACGTTTACTGAAAATTACAGCGCTGCAGACTGGGAAGGAAAGACAATATTTAAAACCATTAATTGTATATGCTATATTAATTTTTTTATTTGTTATATTTTTCCATGAAAGTGGAGTTACCATTTAAGTACAGTGTGTGTGTTTTGCCTGGAGTTCCTCTTTAAAGCAGGACAAATATAACCCCTCCATGGATGGTCCATTGTCCCTGTCATCTTGATGAATAGGATGGTTTGTGATAAAGGTTCACCTGTTTACAAATGAATAGATAAATAACTAGCTGGTGACTGTGTGATAATGTCACTTATTGATGAGGTTACTCTTGTTCAGCTTTTGCAGATTCCTACATTGCAGGGCAGCAGGCACCAGATAGGTAAAATAAGGATTGACATGATTACAAAGGTCACAGGAGACTTCCACTGGTAAATAAAATGGCAACTTTGCACTCTAAGTGCTTTATAGACTAGATATGGGGAATCTCTGAGATCTTCTCTAGGCAAAAAGATGTTTCTTTTGCCACAGGTTTACTTTAAAACGCATTCCATATTCCCAAATCCTTACACATGCACTAGGCTTGCCCTACAGAATTTATAACGCCAAAGGATTTAAAGGACAAGAGCACATTAAAAGTACACTCCCACCTCAGCCCAATGTAAAACATACCCCTAACTAACAAATGCATTTGCAGGATCTTCCACTGATCACCTAGGTGGGGCATTCTTCCTATTCTTCTTCCCACTGACCACCTGTGTGGGACATTCTTTCTTCCACTGGCCACCTGTGTGAAGGACACCTCACCCAGAGATGGACAGTTCACCAAAGGCAGATCTGATATTCCTCCATGCCATTATCCAGATCACCCGAGGCTCCCTGCCCTTCTCAAGACCCTGAATCGTCCCAACCTCACCCAGAATATCGTGCATCAGCACCAGAACAGGGAGGACTTCCTTCCGCAGGGTAACCTGACACCGTGCATTCCATGTGAAGTAACAAACAATTGGACTAACAAAAAAAAAGTGTATCCAAATCAAAATCCCAGTGAGCTGGGAATGCCCTGTACACCCACTCATAACTCATGCGATAGAGAAAGGGGATGCCCAGAACCCTCCCCACCCTTTTATACACCTCTATGTTAAAGGGACACTGGAGCAGAGAGTGGTCCATAGACTCCATTTTTACCAACACACTCCGCCCTAGGACCCTATGTGGGACATTCTTCCTCCCACTGACCACTTATATGGGACATTCTTCCTCCCACTGACCACTTATGTGGGACATTGTTCCTCCCACTAACCACCTATGTGGGACATTCTTTCTCCCACTGACCACCTATGTGGGGGATTTCTTCCTCCCACTGACCACCTACAGTATGCATTGCATTCTTCCTCTCACTGGCCACCTATGTGGGGATTTCTTCCTCCCACTGACCACCTACAGTATGCATTGCATTCTTTCCTCCTACAGACCACCTATCAAAATCAGCCCTTGTCTCTGCACCCTACTGACCTCTGAGCACTGTCCCATGGTTCCACCCCCTACCCACCTCCCAGTACTGCCCCTTTTAGAGGATACAGATTCAAGTATCATTTTGTGATGCTACGTCATTTGTATGGAATTTGTTCATGATAACAATAAAAGCAGTAAAATAGATTCCCTGCAGCCAACAACAATAGATCCCCTCAGCAACAAAAGACTCCCTGCAACAAAATATCCAACAGCAACAATAGATCCACATCAGGAACAATAGAACCCCACCAAGAACAATAGATCCCTCCCTCAACAGTAGATCCCTCCCAGCAACACACCACAGCCAGCAACAATAGAGCCCTGCAACAAAACACCCTGACAGCAACAATAGATCCAACACAGGAACAATAGAAGCCCACCAGAAACAATAGATCACCCAGCAGCCAGGAAAAATAGATCCTTCTCTTACCAGTAGATCTCTCCCAGCAACAAAAACACCCCCGCAGCAACAATAGATCCAACCCAGGAACAATAGAACCCCGCCAGAAACAATATATCACCCAGCAGCCAGGAACAATAGATCCCACCCTGAACAGTATATACCTCCCAGCAACAATAGAGCCCCGCAACAAAGTACCACCACAGCAACAAATTATCTTCCCCAGGATTATTAGACCCCTGCCAGCAACAATAGATCTTCCAGCAGACAGGAACAATAGATCCCTTCCTCAACAGTAGATCCCTCCCAGCAACAATTGGACCCTAGCAACATAAGACTCCTCCCCCCCATATCAATAATAGATTCCTCCAATGACAATAAATCCCCATCAGCCTACATCAATAGACCCTCCAGCATACCCCAGCACCCAGGGGCGGACTGACCATTTGGGAACTCGGGCACTGCCCGAGGTCAGTAGGGGGCCCCATGAGATGCCCCTGGTACCTTTCATAGACTTTTTTGGGTGTGGTTTGAGTGTGGGTGAGAACACAGGGGCCCCATGATCGGCTATTGCCTGGGGGCCCCATGAGTTGTCAGTCCGCCCCTGCTAGCACCTCTTGTCATTACCTATAATCAATGCTGGAAGTGCCGAAACTGTATTCCCCCGGAAAAAGGGCCCTGGGTAAGTCAAAAGGTTTAGCTCAGAAAAATTAGGATTAAATAGTTGGTAGGGGAAGGGCAGGGGGGCAAAGGGTATGAGGAACTTAATGTCCGGAGTTCTGCTTTAAATAGGCCACATAGTGAAATGTGTGCTTCACTGTCCTTCCTTACAGAGAAAGAGGCAGAAAAACAGACATTTTTTTCTTTATTAATTTAAACATTTGTTACACATTAATAAAATGACACCTGAGGAATGATCCCCTCAATTTTTCCAAAGTTATTCAAATAGTTTCTGTAGCCTTTCAATCTCTATAAAGAGGCATGCCCCCTGCCTGTGATGTATAACGGTGTCACCCAAACACCTTGCCTGCACAAACAGCGATTACAAAGAAATTGAATTCCTCCTCCTAATTGAAATGCTCTTTTTTCAGCGGAGATGCTAATCCCTCTCGAACATGGACTTATAATTAGAAATTCATGGAAGACGTTTCCCAGGAGCGGGGAGCGATGCTGTCCTGTAACCTCTGAGATGGGGTCTTATTATGAATGCGGTGCCAGCAGTTGACGAAGCTTCATTAGCCGGGGCTGCGGAGAAGAGATAGAGTCTTGGAGCAGAAGTAGCCGCCCCTCCGGGGGAGTTTAATTGGAATGACTCCATAACATTGCCGGATAAAATGGCTCATCCTAAATTATTGTTTTATTTGCTATTATTGTTCTAATAGATATCATTGTGCAGAAAGTCTTCTGGGGACTGACGGCAGAACAAGGTATTACTTTTTTTTAAAGGGGAGTTCCAAGAAAATTCAAATTGCCTATTGGATTGGGGTCCCACCATGTGGTCATATGTCCTGAACTTACCTACTACAACCAAAACGTGTTGGCTGGAGTTGGAATTTAATTTATTTGTCACTTACCTAAAGTGTTACTAAACCCCAGACCCTGCATTCACTATATCCGGTCTCCCTGGACTCTGCATTCACTATATCTGCTCTCCCCGGACCCTGCATTCACTATATCTGGTCTCCCTGGACCCTGCATTCACTATATCTGGTCTCCCACAGTACACAGAACATGGAAATGCAATTATTTTAATAACTATAAAATGCTAAATACCTTTTCTCATCAGCAGTTAGATCAGTCTTGTGACTTCTATCAGTGTCCAGCAGAGCACTGGTTAAAGCTTGTAGGAGGAGTTTTCTTTCTGCTTTAGGAAGATGCAGAACCCCTGACCTTTGTCTATACCAGCAATGGGCAAACTATGGCCCGCGGGCCGTATACAGCCCGGCGGACCTTTTAATCCGGCCCGCGGAGCTAGGCTCCCGCTAGGCTCCTCTCACAGTCCGCCCTGAAGACCGGTGTAGCATGAAAATCTGTCTCCTATGAGGATCTGTCCCCCTCGACGCAGATACGTCGAGGGGGACAGATCCTCATAGGAGACAGATTTTCATGCTACACCCGAACGGCGCGGGAACACGGCGAGTGGAACGCGCGGAGCAAAGGTAAGTGAATTGACACAGGGGGGACTTGGGGACTTAATATGGGGGATGAATTACTATATGGGGGATTAATTACTATATGGGGGACTTGGGGACTTAATATGGGGGATGAATTACTATAGGGGGGATGAATTACTATATGGGGGATGAATTACTATATGGGGGATGAATTACTATATGGGGGATTAATTACTATATGGGGGATGAATTACTATGGGGGATGAATTACTATATGGGGGATTAATTACTATATGGGGGATGAATTACTATGGGGGGATGAATTACTATGGGGGATGAATTACTATAGGGGGGATGAATTACTATGGGGGGATGAATTACTATGGGGGGGATGAATTACTATGGGGGGGATGAATTACTATATGGGGGGGGATGAATTACTATATGGGGGATGAATTACTATGGGGGATGAATTACTATATGGGGGATGAATTACTATATGGGGGATGAATTACTATATGGGGGATGAATTACTATATGGGGGATGAATTACTATATGGGGGATGAATTACTATATGGGGGATGAATTACTATGGGGGATGAATTACTATATGGGGGATGAATTACTATGGGGGATGAATTACTATATGGGGGATGAATTACTATATGGGGGATGAATTACTATATGGGGGATGAATTACTATGGGGGATGAATTACTATGCTTACTATGGGGGAATATTACTATACTTACTATGGATGACACATACACATCATTCATCTACTCTTGGTCCGGCCCCCGGGTCCAATATATGAACCCATTGCGGCCCTTGAGTCAAAAAGTTTGCCCACCCCTGGTCTATACAGTGCCCTGTGCTAATCACATGCTGTCACGTACCTGGATAGTGAATCTGACGTGAAGTGGGAGGCTTCCCGTACAACTCCGGCTCAAGGACCGCTGATGGTGAGCCAGCGGTCGCAGGTGCACAGTGGGGTATGAGTGCCTGAGATCAGTCCGGTAACAGCCAGAGGTCAGGGCAGGAGGCAATCAAGCAGAAGTCAGGAACAGGCTGGTTTGGCAACAGGAGTCAATCATGGAAGTCAGGAAATACGAGTAGGGAAAAGACCATACAGCAATGAGACAACTACAGCAGCCAGTTTAAATATCCCTTTGGCGTCAGCATTAGTGACAGGCGCGCCCGCATGCGCAAGTGCTCATGCATAACCCCTGACCCTCCATCTGGACAGTGCTAATTGGCCCTGTGCTGATCACATGCACTCTCCCAAGAAAAAAAAAAACCCTCTCACAATACACACCAAACTGAGCATGTGCAGCATGCCCCCAAAGCTCTGTTCTGTCAGCAGATGGATTGGGGACAGTAGAAGAAGGAGAGGATCAGAGAAGAAAGGATCAAACAGCCTTTTTACACAATGCAGAGGATTAACCTCTTAGGTTCTACAGTGAGTATAACAAGGAGGGGCAGACTGACCATTTGAAAACTCAGGCACTGCCCGAGGGCCTGGGGTCAGTACGGGGCCCCATGTGATGCCCCTGGTACCTTTATCATAGGCTTTTTTGAGTTTGGGCAAGGACTCAGGGGCCCCATGATCCCCTATTGCCCGGGGGCCCCATGAGTTGTCAGTCCGCCCCTGCTGTCCACTAAGTTCTGCATTTCTACAGAGGGACTTTGCTCCATTCTTTGTACAGTCTGCTACACAGATCTGGTTAGAAAAAGCTGTCCTCAATTGTGAATACAGGTGTACCGCCCCTGATAACAAGCATGCTTTACTGCATAGCCAGACTGATTTTACTGTTGTGGGTTTAGTAACACTTTAATGTCCAACTCTGGGCTCAAACCTATCCTGGTAATTTTTTCTCCTAAGGGCTCATTTCCACTTGCGGTTGGTAAAAGCACACAGTTAAGTCACATTTTACCTGCCCCATTTCCCCATACTGTGGTTCACACATGTCGCTGACACAATGCTTTGCATTATGATGGAGCAAAAATGATCCCCAGTATCGCATTTGGCAGGCAGTCACCCCTCTAAGTGAATGAGGCCACAGCATAACTGCCACACAACTGTGTGCAATGTAGGCAGTTGCCGTACGGTGGATTTTTTTAGGGGTTGAAGATGGCAGTGAGGAAGCAACATAACGCCTTCTCTCCACCTGTTATACGTCTTTTCAAAAGCGATCCACTGTGGATCACTCTTCCAAGGGTGATGCCAGTGTAAATGAGTCCTTACTGTGTGAAGCATGATATACTCACCTGTGCCGACCAGTTCCCAATGGTAACATCACTCCTTATTGTGATCCTGAGAGGCCCCACCTCTGGATAGCCAATTGGTGTCCATATCACTCAGACAGTGACTTTGACATCCAAACAAGGTCCCCACCTCCTGTAAACAGAGGAGAAGAGAAGACGTGGGACTTGAGTGTCACCTGACCATGGCTTTAGGTGAGTATAAAGGTCAGCTGTAGGAGTGGGGTAAATAATTGCTCAGAGTTGGGCTTTAAAGTCCATTTAAGCCTACATGTTTATCTAAGACTACCATGTCCACTGGATGACAACACTGCTGTGTGATTTCACTACAAAAAGAACAGTGTTGTCATAATCCAGTTAAAAAAAAAAGTCTTAAAGTGTAATTTCAATCAAAATCTAACGCCTGTACAGGGCTTAAAATTGTGAGTCTAGACCTACTAGCCAGGCACAAACCTTACTCTCCACCAGTTGCCCCACCCAACCTTGCCCAGGTCTGCCTCCACCCCCACCCCTGGCCTGTTCCCCAGCCCTGCCCCCAACCACGCCCCCTTAAAGCTTATGAAATTAAATTTTCTTTAGAATAAAGAGTCCAAAATATAAAAAAAACTTCAATTATAACATAATAACATAACACATATAACACAGCACAGCCTCTCTTCTGTCTCCTGTGGGGGGACTTACAGGCGGGGAACATAATGTGAGAGGTTGGAGGGTGTAACTTGTGCTTGGAATGAGAGCTAGAGTGATTGCCGACTATTTGTGCTGAGGAGGGTAATTGGGGGTTGGGGGAGATATTTGCTAAAAGGGGGGATTGGGGTGGAAGCATATGTGCTATTAGGAGGAATGGGGGTTTGGGATATGCTAGGACTATGAGAAGGGGGGGGGGGATTGGGGGAGATATGTGGTAGGAGGGGAGCTTGGGGAGGGGGAATATGCTAGGACTAGGAGGGAAGATTGGGGGAGATATGTGTTTGGAGGGGGGACATATTAGGAGGGAGGATTGGGTGGATATGTGCTAGGTGGGGGGATTGGGGAGGGGGAATATGCTAGGACTAGGAGGGAAGATTGGGGGAGATATGTGTTTGGAGGGGGGACATATTAGGAGGGAGGATTGGGTGGATATGTGCTAGGTGGGGGGATTGGGGAGGGGGAATATGCTAGGACTAGGAGGGAAGATTGGGGGAGATATGTGTTTGGAGGGGGGGACATATTAGGAGGGAGGATTGGGTGGATATGTGCTAGGTGGGGGGATTGGGGAGGGGGAATATGCTAGGACTAGGATGGAAGATTGGGGGAGATATGTGTTTGGAGGGGGGGACATATTAGGAGGGAGGATTGGGGGAGATATGTGTTTGGAGGGGGGATTTGGGAGATATATGTTTGGAGGGGGGATTTGGGAGATAAGTGTTAGGAGGGAGAATTGGGGGGGGGGGGGGATATGCTAGGACTAGGAGGGGGGATTGGGGAAGATATGTGTTTGTATGGAGGATTGGAGGGATATGTGCTAGGAGGGGGGGAATGTAATAGGAGGGGGGATTGGGAGGGGTATGTGCTAGGTGGGGGGATTGGCGAGGGGGAGTATGCTAGGACTAGGAGGGGGGATTGGGGGAGAAATGTGTGTGGAGGGGAAGTTGGGGGAGATATATGTTTGGAGGGGGGACACATTAAGAGGGGGGATTGGGCAGGAGGAAAATGCTAGGACTAGGAGGGGGGGATTGGGGGAGATTTGTGTTTGCAGGGGGGATTGAGGGGATATGTGTTTCCACAATTGATGGTATTGGGGCTTATTCACACCAGTGGATTGTGACAACGCATGTTGCATGCATATGTGCAATGCGATGACATCCCAACTTGGCAGCGGATATCCTTTGCAGTGCAACACATGGCAACACACTAATATGCATTGTAGTATGATACACTGCCAGAGACGGCACAGGCGGTGCATTAGGCAGTCCAGTTCAAACATAAATTAATACGCACACTGCAATGGTGTGAATAGGCTGTTAATGTGTATTTGTAGGCAAAACCTTTTTTTGCTTGTTTGATCTTAATAGATAGGGAAAGAATTAGAGTTTTGGTCAAGTTTTCATTGATGTCCCTATTTATTCCCTATTGAGGAGCCTTTCTTTTTGTATTGGTGAGCAAAAGGGAGTGAGGGGACATCCATAATGTTAGAGTAGTCCCCAGAACAAGAGGTGAGGGGAAATCCTTCAATGGAGACAACTATCTAAGATGGGAATTCTTCTGAATTTTGGGAGATTTGCTCTAACTTCCCTTTGCATCTCTGACACAGGAAGTGAAGAGAAATGTCCTCAGTGGAACAGAGATGGAAAAAAAAATGACAGGGTTTTTAATCCTTTCATACCCTATCCAAAACAAAAACAATAAAAGTTTTGGCTGTCCAAAAACTTTACAGTAATTGTAATGGGAAATAGTGAAAAAACCCTCTTAGCAGTGGGACTTTTCAGGCATAAATTAAACCAAAAATGTTATAAAGAATGATAGTATAAAAAACCATGTTTTATTTATACAGTATTGAAAAGGCATAAAGTTTCAAAATATGAGTGTGGTTTTACAGTAGATGAAGGAAAATAAGTCATGCATGTATTTGCATTTGACACATTTTTTTTGTAACTTTATGCCTTTTACAATACTGTATAAATAAAAAAAACATGTTTTTTTTTAAACTATCACTCTTTATAACATTTTTTTTTAATTTATGCCTTAAAAGTCCCATTGCTAAGAGGGTTTTTCCACTGTATTCTTATAGGGATGATGGCATTTCTTGTATCACGACCATTTCTCTTTACAGTAATTGTAAAGTTTTTTTTTTTTTTTTTTTAAATAAAAATAATAAACATGTTATACTTATACCTGAACCTGCTCTTCTGGGGTCTCCCACTGGTGCTCCAGGCTCCTCCTTTTCTAAGTGTACCCCCAGAGCAAGCTGCTTGCTATAGGAGCACACCTGTGGGCTCGCTCCCAAGTCAAGCTGTGTGCATCCATTGACATACACATGGTGTGGCTAGGCCCAACACCCTCTGCTCACAGGTTTGATTGACAGATGCAGGAGCCAATGACCAAAGAGGGGAGAGAAGTGGAGTGCTGCTGAAGACAGGCACATTGCTGGTCAAGATCAGGCTCAGGTAAGTACAAAGAGAGGGCTAGGTGGTACTGACTTAGAAATGTTTTTTACATTAATGAAGAGAATACTTTAAAGTAAAAAAAAACTTTTGCCTTTAGAACCACTGTAGGCATCTAGCATTATATATCGAAGGAAACATTCTTTCACAACAGTGGACTATTGAGTGTTCATAGTATCCACATAGGTAATTTAGGTTAATGTTCATTCAGACACCTAATCCATTAAAGTGGTTGTAAACCCCTACATATACCCAGTGAAGGGACTGGCCTCAGATCATACAAAGAGATAAACAAATCCTCCTACATGAGTTGTACCTGTTTATCTGCAGTATTCTCTTCTATACAGCCATTCAATGTCCAGAAATTTCACAGCTGATTAGAGGGAAGGGACACACCCTACTTCACACAACACATAGGAATAGAGCTGAGGCTGTCCATCACAGGCTGCGTGTTGGAGCTCCCTCCCCCGTCACCTTTTTTCTCTTGGTGTAAAGAAAACTTGATAGCAAAGGAACAAAGAAGCAGACAGAAATGACATTTATTGATCAAGGTTAAGACAAGTACACACTATAGAGCAGGGGCGGACTGACCATGGATATGTTTTTTTCATATTTCATGTCAGAACTTTACAGCCAGTTAAGAATTTAAAATCTTAAACACATGCAGAACCACAAATCAGTGTTGTCACCCTGTTAAAGTAGGAAAAAAACAGATCTACTTGCAGGATCAGCAAAAAAAACATATTACAGGGCACTCAAAGATTTACACCCTATTTGAATTCTAAAGCACTGTGTATTTTTTGCTGGCTGATAACTAAAAAGATGGGAAATTTGAGTGGAGAGTGAAAAAGTTTTACTTTTGACTGCTGGTGATTGCTGGTGCTTGTACAGTAGTTGTTTTATTTTCTTCTTTGGGTCTTACTAAAAGCTTTTAATTTTTTAAATCACTTGTTCTGGCACTTTTTAAATAGCATTTTTTTTTCTTTTTCCTTGTCTTCCTTCAGTCTGCTAATTAAGGGGAGGGGTTAATTGGTCGCAGGTGATTCAGGTACTATATAACTTGCTGTAGAGCTCACCTGTATTTTGCTTGCTGGACCTTTGACAAAGTGGAGATAAAAACCGGCATTGGAAACCGGAGAGTATAACAGATGCCGACCAACCTGTAAGTAACAAAGATTTCCTATTAATATTGTAACTGGGATAATGTGTGCTAGCAGGGCTGAAGG